GAAATACAGCACTGTATATATATTTTATTTTTCCTTTTTGTAAATAAAAATATTTTCAGAAAGTCGGTCAAATTCACAGCACTTATCCCAGATATAAAACTAAGTAGAACATGTTATTATTTTAGTATATATTGAAAAATTCTAATTATTATATCCATTCTTACCGAACTGAAAAGAAAGGAAGAAGACAAGTAAAGCTTTGACAAGAAGTGAAGAGAATCTAACTCACGCAAATACTCCTCCTTTTAATGTATGTATCATGGGGCGACAATTAGATAATATTGTTAATAAAAGTAATGACTAAAATATGAAAAGAAACCCAAGGGAAGAAGAACCTTACATAAACAATTATGCTGTGAGAGTTTTGGAGCACTGGGGATAATCCATTGCCACAGCGCCCCCTCCCATACTCAGCCTGAATTAAAGATTTTATCCTGGAGATGGCAAAAAGTTCCTTCTTTTTCTGTCCCCGCGTCCTCTCTTTTCTCAGTTCTTCCTTTTAATCCTAAAAGCAGATCCGACAAAGTGACTCCTTCAGCTCAGCCTATCTCTTTTCATTGTTCTTGTAACGCGTCTTATTCAGAACAGCGTCGCAAACCCTACTTGTTTTACTAGCAAGCTGAACATATCGTTTACACAGTATGAATGTGTCGGTGGTATTTTAACACACAATAGTCAATTCTTTCACTTTATCTGAGGGAGAGGATAGCGTCCCCCCATTTCATAAAAGAAAGGAGAAACATTCCCGGTCCATTGTATTGTTATGTCACAGGAAGCCGTTTCTGCTAGGCATTATGATGCATCCCAAAACCCCACTAGATTCCATTTAGCCCCATTTAAAAGTTACTGTGACTAGTACTATGACGGTTGAGTTAATAACATATATGCTGCTATCTGTGTGGCATGTGTGTTCATATATTTTGGCCAGATCGTGCAGTCCTTAGTCAAGCAAATCTCTCCTTCACGCCAATGGGATTTTCACCTGAGTAATGACTACAGGATTGGGCCCTATGTAAATACCCACCAAACAGACAAGCCCATGCATAAACACACACAGCCAGTTATTACACAGAACAAATAGATCATGTTTACATTACATTAGGAAGGACACCATTCCCACAGTCCTGGCTTTCATTTTTGACTGCCTTAAAACTTCATACCAGTGGCTTTAGAGCAAGGAGCCGTAGTTAGCATCTAAAAAATGACAAACCACAAAATCTGTCTCCCAGGACTCTAATCAAAAATACCTGAAAAGGATTAATCTTTGTTAGCTGCTCATTAACTATAACCGAAGTAAACTTTACATTTAAAAAGTCAAATGCGAGTGTTGCTTAAAATCTAGGGGTACGAACGATGCGATAATGAATAGATACCCAATCAATATGCAGTGTGTAAGTCTTCAAGTCTCTGTGTAGGCATTTTAATTTGTTACAGTTATTACCAATAAAAAGTGCATGTGGTACTGTTATACTGTTTAATAGTGCAAGTTGGACCGTTTTTATTAGAAACAGGAAAAATAGATTTCAGTTAAGGAGCACAGTAGATTAAAAGCTATCCATGGTAAAAATATTCAGCTCAAAAAGCATAATTTTGGAAAAATTAGATATAATCCGCAAACACTGATCAAAAGCAATATTGACACAAAACTTCAGATTTTAATCACAAATTATATTTAAATGACCTCAATAGCAGTTCGATCTCTACATTCCAAGTCAAATGAGTAGTGTTTATGGTAAGTAAATGCATACTCCTTGCAGTGGGTAAGAACATGCCTTTCTGAAGCTATACAAAAATATGCAAATCAAACCAAAGCATGAATGTCTTTTGAAATGATTATACTATATTGCATTAATCTCTTATTGCAAAATTATCATTCATTTTATATATAAAACAATGTTTTGGAATGCACAATGAAAATATTGCAAATTTAATCTGTTGCTCTTTGTATTTGTTGGGGAGTGTGCTATTGATTTATAGTCTTCCGAGTGAAATCATAAAAAAGATTTTGCACCAAGGAACGCAAGAAATACAAATGCAGACAAAAGCAACATCTACATTTTCTACATACATACCTATATATCCAGGATGTGTGCGTGTGTGCGCGCGCGTATGTGTTTTTATGTATGTGTATACTCTGAACTGAATTACATAATTCCTCCTGGGAGCACAGTATTTGTTTAAGCACTCTTTCCAGGTCATAACTGTAACACCCAGTTAATAGCATTAATCCCCTGTTATAATGTCAACACAACGGCCATTGTATTCCCAATCTGAATTGTACCACTAATTATTAGAGAGGATGAATTAAAAGCAATCAGCTCGCTTAAATACTTACTTACGTCACCCCTGTTGGAAAGAACAGACTCGTCTTACAAAATAAAAATGCAGAGGTATTCTATATTTTGCAATGCATGCAATTTGATTTAGAGAGGTTCATGTATGACTTTATAATGTTATAATTAATGTTCATTCTCAAATCTCCAGCTGCTGCAGCGTTAAAGCAAAGCAAAAAATGCATATACTTAAAAAGTCGCTCTGCGAACACAGAAATTTAATATTCAGACGTAATCGCCTGATATCGATTATGCCACATAACTGAAATATGAATGCGTGTTATATAAAGCGCTTGCGTTTACAGTTTCCATTGTTATTTAATACATGTGTATTAATCATCAAGTAGGAAAGCAAGCATCATTTCTGTAATCTGTTGCATTGAGTTTACCGGTTGTTTATCACTTTCTTATCACGAAATGGAAAGTCTAGATTTAATGATAAGAAATACCTGTTGGTTTTAACCTCCTCCCCCTCACCTTCCTTTTTAAGGATTGCATCTCCTATAGGCCACGGGAATTAATTCCCTATGTCGGGTGGCCAGATCTCTCCTGGATGCAGAGGTGTGGGGGAAATTGGCGCGGAGATGGAGGGGGTTCTACAGGGAAAGAAAAACATCAACAAACATAGGTTGCTTAAAACATACACACATCCATATACTTGGCTATGTAGTTCTAATACTTCAAGTTTCCCAGAGAGCACACTGAGCCTGTATTAGAAAGATTATTAAAACAGCATCTCAAAGTGTATTATTTTATTAGCAGCATGTTTAATTGATTAACAATAGGCGGCCCCGATAACCCATAATTCTTCAGTTATTGCAATTTTTCCTTCCTGTCAGTTTCTAATAGATTCCCCAGTGTACTTTGGTTTGATGTATTTACCCCATCCACTGTAATGATATGGGGTATTTTGTAAAGAATTCAACTTTAAAGCTGACTGCACTTTTTAAACTACTATATTTGGTTAAATAAAGGACAAATGCTCATTCATAGATGTAGTGAGGACAAAATACATGGCTTAATGTGTACACGATCCAGTGTAGAAGTTTATTTCAGGCTTTAATGTTTTGCCTATTGGTGACAGCTATTTCATTACAATTTGGTTACTTTCAACAATTACTATTTCACAATTTAGATTAATACATCAAGGCCTGATCCTGTATTCTTTAAGTAAAACTCTCACTGATGGATTGCAACTGATTAAGGGTGAGTAGCTAATAACACACACACGGGGCCTACAGTGCATGCAAGTAATAAACGGATATACTGCGGGCTGGTAGGGAAATCCATATTTAGGTGGGTTGTAAACAGTGCAATACACCTTTGGTAGATGAGGTGTGTTTTTATGGGAAGGTACGGATTTAGAAAGGTAAGGAGGAGAGGAGAAACGAATTGTATCTCAATCATAGTACACTAATAACAGAGTTCAATTCCAGATCCAAAGGATTGTGTGTACAATTAACCACAGACTTCTCAAAAGTGTCTCAAGACCAGTCAGCCTGAAAAAATATAGACCAATGCCTTCACCTCAACCTCTCCTTTCTAGTATATTGTAGAACTGCCCGTGTCTGTGGTGGGCAGAAACTATATTATTTGTGAAGTTAATTATACCCTGAATGTTTGTTCTGATAGGCTTCCTCTCCGAACTGCAAAGAGAGGGGTTGTACCCCTGCACAGGGTCACCTGGGCCTCTCCCCCATGCAGCCAAAACCAGAGCAAGTAGAATGGAAATTGAAAGATGCTTCCTTGGAGGGTTTAATGTGAACATTTAACTTAGCTTGGCTGCTTGTGAAAAACTATTATCAAAATAGAAAGCTATTGTTGCCATACACGGACACTCATATAGCGTTCTCCGTCTATTAACGCGTGTACTTCCCGCCTTTTCACCATACACAGGGCAATACTTGTACTTGTGCTCTCCCACGATATACTAACAAGCCCTGTGCGCAAGTCTGTGATAATATATACGATAGAAGGTGTGTGCATAGGTACCTATTACAATGGAGTGTGTGCAAGCGTGTTTGTGGCTCCGAGCCGGGACAAACTGAGCAGCGGTATCATCCTTTGGCTTCAGCAGTGTGCTCGCTGTCAGACAGAGAGGGTGGCTTGTAATGCATTACAACAGCCTGCTTCCCTCCCTCCGTCTGCGGGGGGAGATGGAGAAGGAGAAGGGGCGGGCCCGTCGGAATATGCAGATGAGCCTCTGTGACGGACAGCTCTGGTTTCCAATGTCTCTCAGAAACTCGAGTGCTCCTTCCCTCAACTCTTCACTCCAGACTCTATACTTCCCCCAAAATACAGGCTGGCCGGCGCTGGGGGAGCGGGCTGGCGGGCAGAACTCCATATGCAGCAGCCACTTTCCTGAGCCGGGCTCTCTCCCTCCCTCTCTCCCTGGCTTTCTCTCTCTCTCCCCCTTGTCGTTACCCAGCTATTTCCCCCCTCTCCCCATGCTCTTCTCCTCCTGGGTAGTTTGCTGAGCGGATCCGCCGTTGTGGTGCTGGCCGGGGTGCATGGGGGGCCAGTAGGACAAGTCTCGTTCTCTGCACAGCTGCCCAGAGCCAGCCGGGGAGAGGGAGAGGGAACACGAAAGCAGCAGCAGGAGCAGCAGAAGCGCCAGGGCCGGTCACCCTCGCCCCCTCCCTGCTCCTGTGCACGCCCGTGCAAGCCATGTCCTATCCTCAGGGTTACCTCTACCAGCCCCCCGGCTCGCTGGCTCTGTACTCCTGCCCGACGTACGGGGCGTCGGCTCTGGCGGCCCCCAGGAGCGAAGAGCTGGCCAGGTCTTCGTCGGGCTCGGCGTTCAGCCCTTACCCGGGATCGGCAGCTTTCACAGCACAGGCGGCGGCCACAGGCTTCACCAGCCCGCTCCAGTACTCCACAGACCCCGCCACAGGATTCCCCTCCTACATGGTAACTACCGAGAAAAATCCTCTCCTTCATTAGCATCCTCATCCTCATCCTCCTCTGCCGCTATCTCCTACACACGCACCATCAGTAACAGAGCCCGGGCTGCACAGCCAGGCGCTGAGCACAAACTCAGCCGCCTGCTTATGTTTTCCCAACACCATGCTTAGAGTGCAAACCCGAGCTGCCCAAGCTGGGCAAAGGGAGAAGCGGACGGGGCCCTAGCACTACCTCGGACCGGCCCCTGGCGGCTCTCGGGGCTTGCGAACATAAAACCGAGCCTGCCTTTGCTCGCGGGTCCGTTAGTAAAGAATCCGCATTGTCTGAAGCAGTTTGGTGGCTGCGTTTTGTGCTGCGGGAGGAGAGGGGAGGATTTCTTTTTTCTTGCTTTTCTAAGCCAACGTTTAGTGGAGCTCCGGGAAGTGAGCCCGGTGCGGTTTCAGTTACTTTCAATGCGGTTTGTGCTAATGGTTTAACTGGATTTTAGGGATGAAAAGAAGCATCTGTTTGCGATCTGTGAGCTTCGCTCATACCCAAGATGGTTGTGGTGGCCGCAGCTTCAGCTTTGACTTTGTTGTCATTTCTTAAAAGGAGCATTTGAAAACGCGTGTCTCTCTCTCTCTCTGTGTATATATATATAGTTATAGTTATATAGACACACATCAGGAATTTAAGGTCGGAGACTCCAGATTGGTTACGATTGGTTCCAGGAAGGGGTGGCAAAAAGGTTAGTTATATTTCCACATAAACTGACAGAAAACCAAATGTTTTCTGGGTGTAAAATACTTCAGCAGAAATGGTCGTGTAGTCTTTATTCAATGCAATGTGAAAGATCTGAAGATCTGCCCCTCCTGACTTTCCTGTCGAGGAGCAGTAGATAAGTGGCTGGAAGTTGCAAAGTGTGTTTGTCGACTATTAAGAACATTAGGTGATTTTAGGGCCCTAACTCTCCCTTCTCTAGGATTTTTAAACGTCCTTAAAGTTATCAACTTCCTTAGTAATATCTTCAACTTTTCTTCCATTATGCAGACTTAAATAAGCTCAATGCAAACGTTAAAGGGCGAATTAAAATGCTAATTACATCGCATTTAAACAATTCGAAACGGTGCATATCTTCTGATTTGCGAGTTGGATTTGCAATGCATTAGTGCAGTGAATTGCTAAACGGTGCCTCTGTAGTATATTCTATAGCAAAAAGGAAACATCTTTTGAACCTTTGAAAGAAACGTAGATAGCAAGGCACTACCTGTAAGGCCTTTTTAAAATGTCTGCGTGACTCAGAAATAATTTTGGGAAATATTAAATTACAAGGATCTAAAATTAACTGAAGATTAAAAGATCAGCGATTTAAGTGTGTGCGGTTTGGGGGAAGGAGGTAAATAAGATCTTAACGGCCTTTGGGTGCCCTTGTTTGCTATTAGAATATGAATGTGAGATACCAATCCAGGAAAATGCAAATATAATCACTGATCTTTTCTTGACAACTTACTAATGACTAGCAGCAATAACAAATTGCCAACCCACTGTTTTGCCCTTTCCAGGGCTCTCCTTACGATGCTCATACGACGGGGATGACCGGGGCCATCAGTTACCATCCGTATGGCAGTCCTGCTTACCCTTACCAGCTGAATGATCCCGCTTACAGGAAAAACGCCACCCGAGATGCCACAGCCACCCTGAAGGCCTGGCTGAATGAGCACAGGAAGAACCCCTACCCCACCAAGGGCGAGAAGATCATGCTGGCCATCATCACCAAGATGACCCTCACCCAGGTCTCCACCTGGTTCGCCAACGCCAGGAGGAGGCTCAAGAAGGAGAATAAGATGACTTGGGCTCCCCGGAACAAAAGCGAAGATGAAGATGAAGACGAAGGGGATGGGGCAAGAAGTAAGGAGGAAAGTTCGGACAAGGTGCAGGAAAGCAATGAAACTTCAGCAGAGGACGAAGGTTAGGCACAACACGATTGTTACCTAGATATAAAGGTCCCAAAGGGATACGTGTGCAAGTGTGCAGGATTTATTTAAATGCACGTTTACTTCCCAAATTATAACCGGGGTGCTGCGGGATATATTTAAAACTCATGTCCCATCCCCTCTATGCCGTTTACCCTCACTAGCTAATCTTCACCTTTAACTGATAAATAACGGTAGCAAAGACCGTTTAAATTGATCTAATTTTGCATTGAGCCATTCCCCTAAAACAGCCAGCCAGAGTATTTGTATTAATAATGCCTGTTGTGCTTTGTACGGGCGAGTACAGGAAGCTGCTTTCATGCAGCCGTAGTGATAGCCGGTGGGAGTGTTCCTAGAATTATAATTATACATAAAATGATTTGATTACAAGCGTCGCTTTCCCATCAGTGGTTGCAATAGTTGTGCTTGCTTCTCTCCTGCTCTCTTTAGTCTATATAACTGACTGTGCCCTTGTTTGTTCGGCTGGTGCCTTTGCAGGGATCAGCTTGCAGGTTGACTCGCTCACCGATCACTCCTGCTCCGCGGAGTCGGATGGGGAGAAGTTGCCCTGCCGAGTAGGGGACACGCTCTGCGAGTCCGGATCAGACTGCAAGGACAAATACGAGGACATCGAGGACGACGAGGAGGAAGATGATGAAGCAGAGAGAGACCATCCCGCTAAGCCTGCGACTTCCTCCCCCCTCACCGGAGTGGAAGCCCCCCTCCTTAATCACCCCCACGAGGACGCTTCAAGGAACTCCAATAAAACTACTTTGGACAACAGGATTTCCCCCAGTTCCGAGACACAGGCCATTAAGCCCAAGCTCTGGTCTCTAGCTGAAATAGCCACCTCGGACCTTAAAAATCAGAACATGGGCCAAAGCTGTCAGCCACCGGCTTTATCTTCAGTAACCCCCTCTTCTACTTCGCACAGCTCTGCCTACTCGCCCTCTTCTCTCTTAGGAAGGCACATTTATTACACTTCACCTTTTTATACCAATTATACAAACTATGGGAACTTTAACGCACTCCAGAGCCAGGGGATCCTGAGATATAACTCCGCAGCAATGGCTTCGAACGAGGGACTAAGTCAAACTGTACTAAATACAAGCTCTGTTCACAAACAGAGCAGTGACTCTTTGAAAACGATCACTAACCAGCTAGAACAACACTACAGGCCCTCTAGTTATGAGTCTAAGAAAGGTAGGTGACTGATTGCTTCTTTTCTTCCGAAAGGCAAAATGACTTCTATACACACTGTAGTTAAAGAATGCTTATTTGGACAAACACCACCAGCAGCAGCAGACAAATAAACCGACAATACTTAAGGAAAAGGAGCTGGAGCTAGACAACAATATATTTTGGGAATTTAAAAATACCCCCCCCCCCCCATTTTTTGCCTTTAACGAAGAGAAAAAGAAATAACAGAGGAGTTAAAAAATCTAATGGGCTAAATATGTAGCTTTAAAAATCAATGTTTATAAATGAACCCTTATATAATTTAAAAATACTGCTATCTTTACCTTCTGTGCATTGTGTTTAGTAAAACAGGACACTAACTTTTTTTTTTTTTTAACTTTTAAGGAGTTAAATATAGTTTTATTCGATTTAAGCTAAAGGAAATACAATGATCCAAGTTACCAAATTATGTCCACTATACAACCTCTATTTTTCCCATACAGTTTTAAAATTAGTATAACAAATTAATATAATTGTCTGATTTTAAAAAGGAATTAAAAAACCTGATACCACCATTATCCAAACCGCAGTCAACTATAAAATATTAATGTAGAAGTTGTAAATGGTTTAGATATGAATTTTGTGCAAGTGAATTTTGGGACATACACACACTGTATAATCTAGTTAGCTGGCTGTGTCCTGTGACTAACTGACGGTTATATTTTGACAGATCCCACTGACGTCTGCACAGTAGGAGTACAACCATACCTATAGAAGTGCAATCACACAGCAATGCAAGTAAGTGAGAACATTTTCTATTACACTGATCATTTGGCATCAGGTCCAAGACATATTGCACAGCTGTAAACTTGCTTAACGTTAATTTCCTGCTTCATTACATAAGAGTCTGATTACCAAGTAATATGCTCTTTTCTGGTCTTTTAAAAATCCCTTATTACAGCTTTTCTTCTCTGCTTTATACTCTTTTGTAAGACAGTTTAGAGGATTTCCAACCCCTTCATATGACTTAGGGTTTTCTTTTCCATTATGTAAAACAAAAATAAAGGAATACTTAAATTTTATATAGATATCTTTAGATCTCTTTTAAAATAATTTTCTAATAATTGTTATAAGATAAGGCGTTTGTGTTAAGATATTGCAATTGTACATTGTAAATATTTAAAATTTAAAAGCACAATTATAAGATTTCAGCATGCATTTCTAGGAGGTTATGGTATCTCTGAATTGTCTTGTCTGGTTAACAACGGCACCCTTAAAACCTTCTATGTTTAACACTAACCAAAATCCTATAGATCTTTTAAAACTAATATTTTCATGAGAAGAAAACAAAAGAGTAAGCATTTTAGTTCAACTTTATTATTATTATATTATTATTACAATGTAATGGTGTTAGTGTGTAACTGAAGGATTTTGGATGATCTGGTTTTTTCCTTGGTCCACAGGTAGGTGTCACAATTGCTTTGAAAAAAGTCAGCAAGCCATCATCTCTCCCCGAGCTAATATATAGAACAAATCTCTAAATCCGGATCACATCTTGTGCCACTGTATAAAGGAAGACCACAGAGCACTATTAAATCTACAGACTCTAATTATTAAACCAGAATTTTGTTGGACATATGTGAGTTTGCTGGTATAGTATAGTTTCCCCAATGTATGTGTTACTTTTGAAAACAGATCTGTTTTTCTCAGGATATCTTGAATTGATCACTTCATTGCCACGGTATATATTCGATAGGTGTGATAGGATTTATTGTAAAATTTATTTGTAAAAGATGTATACAGTAGAGATAACAAAGATGTGATTGGAGAACTTGAGTACTTACAAAGTGGAAACAAATTTGATATTTATTTTTGTAATGATATAAAAGCTTCTAGTAATTTATGCAAGTTGTATTGCAATGAAATTGGAACTTTTGTAAATAAATTTTGCCTGGTTTTTATTTGAAACGTTAATGGTTATAAAATCTTTGGTTGTTTAACAAGATTTCTTTACTAATTTATATCTTTAATTGTAAATAAAAACAGACTAGTCTGCAACCATATGGTGTTTTTGGTTCATTTTCCCCTAAAATACTAAAAATACTAAACTATTTAGAAAATCATAAAATTGATAGTAGTTGCAATTTCACTTTATATTTTTTTAGAATGTAAAAAGCCTAAATAAATTAAACAAACTGCAAATACATGCTTTGTTTAAGTGAAGCTCAGAGTTGTTCTGTATAGATATAGCGCTATAGATCGATATAAAGATACATGTGCATGCACGTGTACATTTTTACAAGCTAGCAGAGATGCACTTATTTTTAATACTAGCACTTTCCAATGCTATTTTCCTTTTCCATAAATAAAGTCTTCATAACTCACCCTATTTTGCTATAGCTCAAGCAATCATTTATTTTGATTTTAAGTTATGTCCAGAAGTGCTGAAAATGCAAGAAAACAAAATGCCCCAGCCCCTATTTTTTATGTTTTTCCCTCTTCTAAATTGCATGAATTATGTCTATAATTTGGTAGTCCTGTAAGAGATCCACCTTGATTAGACTCAGAAAAACAGCTACCCTATCATTTTAATTTTCAGTAAAATAATGAGAATCCCCATATAAAATAATTTCAGAAAAGAAACGAACAATCATTTATTTTCCCCAAAAGATAAATTGAGTGAATATAACTTACGGTTATAAAACAAGAATAATAGCTTCTTAGATTGCCCTTTAATCAATCATACACTTATTTTTCAAGAGGCTCATCTATTTTATTCCATGATTAATAATGTTCCAGCATGAGAGCATTATTAGATCCCAGCAGGGGAGATCCTGGATGCTTTTAGCTGCTTTGGAATGGTCAGTTGGGGTTCATTATGGTCTGATATTGAACAATTTATAAAATCTTGTCTAAACATCTGCCAGCTCAGATAGGCTGATGTGTCGGAGGATGGGAAATTGCTGGACCAGTTGATATTGACAAACGGATCTCTCTCCAGTGGCTTTTTGTTCAGTGAAAATTAGTGGCCTCTTGCTCGGGTCTTGTTAGAAAGGGCATTTGAAAGTGATCTTAGATACTTCAGGCAGCAGCCCAGGGAATGTTAACTGGATAAAGAGCCATTCTCGGCTGGAGTCAGAAAATACATCCTGATGGTACTAAGTAGGGAAAGGGGCTTTAAAAAAAACAAACAAACAAACAAACAAAAATGTGTATTGGTAACTTATAAAGATGTCAAGCTGATTAAGAAAAATATGTCAATGTGCTTTTCAACAGAGAAGGCAGAAATTAGTATTACAATTCTGGGAAACTGTAGGGTGTCCATAGATAAGTACACTAAAGATCTTTGCGGTGCAGGCCTACTTCAGATATTGGAGGGTGACATGAAGCAATGTTTTAGCCTATAAGTAAAATGCAACTCTGTGTCTGCATACAATACCTAGTACAATTTGACAAAAAGTTGACAAATCCTTCAGAGAATGTTTTGCCTTTCGACAAATGTGGAATATTGATTGTGTTCAAATGTTTGCATCCATCTCAAACTGTTTTTATTGTGCAAAATAGAAACATTATAAAGATGAACTTTTTATTTTCTGTTGAGGCATTTGCACTAAAGCCTCTTTCCCCCATCTTTAAATTAATACTCTTCCCTTTCCACCTCACCCGCCCCCACCACCCACTTTTTATGTTCCAGGTCCTCCATGGGACACAACGTATAAATTGCAATTGGTAAAAACCAAAAGCTGTGGCAGAGATTAGAAAAGGCTAACGACATTCCTTTGATGTTTATACGCCCAAAGAATTATAAAAGATTTCCATAATTTACCCATCCTTGCTAGTATTTAGACCTGGATTTCTTTCTGGAAAGGAAAGTAGAAAGACTTGGGGAACTCGCTTTTAAATATTCACTATGTATGTAAAACCCAATGGGTTTCTATCATCCTCTTTGAGACATTCATGAGTGCTCATGGATCAAGATGGACACCACCCAAAAGATCTGGCAAATAAATGTATTTTTAATAGAAAATTAATGGACAAGAATTCCATTGCCAATCTCAGTTAGTGTTTAATAATTAAAATTAAAAGCGGCAGGAAATCGTGTCTGTGTTAGGCTGTTGGCACAATCAGTGTGATTACTTCAGGAAGGAAAGAAAGACAGACGCATGGACAATAAAAGAGTACTTTGTGTACAGTTTGTTTCATATTGACGCTAATCAGCCCATTGGGATTAATATTTTACGCCCATCCCTTTATTTACTCTACATTCCCCTCCCCCGATCTTTGTAAGTGCTTGTTTCGGAACTGCTAGAACAAACCCTCCCTTCTTCAGGGCTAGAGGTTTCATTAGAGTTGATTTACCGAAATTCAAGCTTTAATCTCAGGTGGGATCCCCTAGGGACTGGTGCTGTTGTCAAATAGGAACAGAAGCGCGTTCCACTTTGGACTGCCTTTCCTTGCTCCCTTCAAATGTCACCATTTGTTCTCAGTAAAAGAGTTATTGTTTCAGCAAAGCTGCTCATCAACTGCCTTGAAAGTTGAAAAGAACTTCACCCACCTTTGTTTGATTGAGGCTGGGGGAGGGATGGGGACAGAGAGACACTGCACAGGCCATAAACAGAAAGGGAAGGATGCGAGTTGCTCCTGAATACAAGTTCACGGTTTGAGGGGAATAAGGAGTTTAAAGAAAGAGTTAACATACATTGTTATAGACACCAGCGTTTCGGTTTCCATTGACTCTGCATGTAACCCATGCAGACGTAATCACAGAAGAGCTCTGGTAGAGAAAGAAGAAGGGAATTGGGGGCTTACTCTCTCTCTCTCTCTCTGAGGAGATCGAAATTTAAAAAAAAATCTTAGGCAAAGAAACAAAGAGCAGGGTGTGCTCCCAGACACAACCGAGCCCATCAGGGGCATCCAACAAACCATCACACAGTAAAGCCTGTCCCTGCCTGGCCCTTTCTTCAGAGGGGCGCATCTTGAACTTCCTGCGCGTCCCACTTCCCAGACTGCCAGTGACGCGCACGAGAGTTTAGGGTGCATAAGGAATGAGAGACCGGGCCCCAGACCCGGCAGAGGAGACAGCAGTTAATTACAGGCATTCCTAGCCAACTAGAACGAAAAAACAAAACCATCCCGCATCGGAAATTTCTTCTCCCGTCAGTGTTTACATCTCACTTTAAAATCAGTTAAACCTCCACCTAGCCCCGTTAATAAACCGCAGCAGAAATTCGATTAACATCGAAGATTTTTATTGCTTATTAACGTTTGCTAAAACGATTAATTTACGGATATATCGTTTGATAATGTTATGTATTAAAATATTTCCCAAATTCAAGCACAATCTTCCGATTATTGAGTTAACGAAAAACATCCTTTTTCTTGTAGGATAAAAAAAAATAAAGTGCTGTAAAATTCATGCCTCTCTCTTTAACCCAGCAGATGAAAATTCAAGTATGTTATTGGGTTATAAAGGATGTAAAAACAAAGCAAAAAGTAAGGGGGGGGGAAAGAGTCCCGGATGTATTTTCAAATGCATTTATGCATTCCGATCTGGGAATACTAGATAAATAAGACAACTTAATTATTCTGAATTGTGAATATTATTTTGCCCCTTTGACGCGTACTCTAAATAAATACGGCAAAAAATTGTGAATTTCTAACAGCGAGTTTATATTTTGGTCATAAACAATTATTACAGCGATCGTTCTTATGGCAGGACGTATCCTTTCTATGGGAGCATTTTACCTGTAAATAGTCTGGCAGAGGTGACAGCTGGACTCCTGCAATCTGGAACAGTTCCCCACCCCCACAACCTCCGAATAAATCACAGGAGAATGCCACTGTTTTGTAGCAGTCAGGGCAAGGTCTACTGTATTTTCCCGAGAAAAATAAAAGCCATGAAATGTAGAGACTTGACTGTTCCGATTTAAGCAAAAGTCATTTGCTTCCGAAACAGGGATTTACTTTTCAGGGCTGTAATCTGGGAAATATAACTAGCCTTAATAGGAGAGAGAAGCTCACCTGAGCCGTAGTTCCTCACAACAGTATTAAAATAGGCCGGCATTGTCAAATCACTGTGTTAAGTAAAGTGCTTGAGTAATTCATTGTGTGTTCTTTTTTTTTTTTTTTTTTTTTTTTAAATACAGAAATGGCTAAATGCGAACGGTATGTCTCGCTCCCTATGCAGCAGCTATGAATACTGTAATTGGGCTCTGTATTAAACGTACAGAAAAATAAGCATGTGAATCTTTATAGGGAGATAAATTGACAATTTATTGTGTATAACTTCTGATCAATTATTAATCGTTAGTGTCAACAACAGGGTTATAATTACCTTCAGTTATGTAAAGGAATATTTATTTTTTCTTCTCTCTGATCTGGTAATTAGTTAATGCTCTGGTGTAACGAACTCGAAGCTGATTTGATTATGATTTAGACAGTTTCCCCCGCTCTTTTGGCAGCCCCTTCTGCCCAGGTCTCGGGGGAGAGAAGTACCCCAATGTAGAAGACGCCATTTAATAGCAACACTCGCAACGTTCACTTTTCAG